TCACATGACCTTACGCAGTTGCAAGCGCGGTAAAACCTTATTAAAACTAAACTAAGATCATTTACGAATTTACGAGGCAGGCTTCGACCCTGCCGGCCAGGCCCAACCCAGGCTGAGAGGGGGTACAATATCCCTCGGTAAAATGTTCTCCCCACTCAGGAATCGAACACGGGTCTTCTGCGTATGGCGGCCAAAGTCCTACGCGCTACACAACAGCATATATCGGTGGAGGGTTGACCAAACAATCAAAAATTGACATGACTAAGCTCAGACATCAACATAATAGTATAGTGCGCAGAGGTCTCCATTCAATAAATTGGAACCCCCCCCCCCTCGCCCCGCCGGGAAAAGTAACCTTGATTCAGTCGAAAGACAGGGGCATTTGAAGTTGAACCTATTTAATTACATTTCATGTACACTCCTTGGACAAAAGAAATACGACTTTAAACGCTGAAGAAGTCTAGAAGGCAAGGCGGCAGCAGCAGCAGCAGCATTATTATAAAGGTCAGAATAACTGTCCCAATGATTTCCCTAAGAAACTTCCTTATCTTGAGGGTTATATCCCAAATTTCATTCGGATTCTGTCGTCACCGAGAGAGACAAAGAGAGATCAGATCGCGCGCTGTGTTAAACTGACATTAACTGGAAGAGACCGGTCAGAACGATCCTCCCCCCCTAAACCGTAGATCCTGCGATAAATATCTGGAGCGGTCGTACAATCGTCTACGTGTCATTTAGCTAATCATTAAGAGAACAAAGGTAAACATTGGAGATAACGGCGGTCAACAAAGTGAGGGGCAGCTCAGGACACAGGAAAGACTGACGGAGGCTCGGAGATACACGCCCACGCGGGGGGGTTAGGGGTACACTCACTGTCATATCCCACATGCGGAAGAGACCGGGATAGGGGGGGTACACTACCATACCCCATTCGAGGTTAAAGGGGAACACTGCCTTACCCCACACGAGGGCTCAGGGGTACCTTAACCCACCCACCCCTCACACACACACACACACACACACACACACACACACACACACACACACACACAAACACACACCGCGGTTCGGGGTAAACTACCTCACAAATTTTGCTAAACAAAATTAAAAGAATAGAAGGACCCAATACTTCGATCACATAAAATGCCCGCAGACCAAAGTGAAGAAAACACTCGAAGATAAGATGCGAGGCACAGTGGGTGAGGGTGGACAAGAAATAATGTGGACCGACAACATCAAGGCATGGACTGGCCTTAGAATGACATAGTGCATGACGCCATCTGGCAACCTTAATCGGTCGCTTTTAAGCACAAGGGGGCTAGCTATACCGAAAAATGCTGTTTTGAGAAAATCGTAGGTAAAGTTTTTGGACCCTTGTTCAGTTTCTTTAAAAGACAAGGAGAGTTTTCTCTATACCCAAATAAAGATACACACCAATGAAACCAAACTTCTCTTAGATGTAGGGCAATGCTCCCTTTTGGTGTATGTCAAGATTTCTGGAAACCCCCGAAATCTGGGATAGCCCGCTTGTCCTTAAAGGCGACCTATTAAGCAATGGAGGGTCATTACAAGTCAACCTCTGGGCCACAGATGATACCTTCGGGTATCCAGGTACCTTACCACACTCGGAGATTCAGGGCCACACTACATTACTCCATAAGACGTTGGAGAGCTGTCCCCGTCGCTTTATGCTTGAAAAATGCTGAAATTATGCAAACTGAGCCCAAAAATGTGAAATTATGCGATTTTGTTAATTTTAACAAAGAATGATAAAGGAAAATGATCAGAAATCATGCAAAAATGATCAAATTTTGCTAAATTATGCGGGGTGCATAAAACCACGGGGACAGGGAGAGGAACAATATTCTATCTCGAACGGGATTCGAGAGAAACACAACCTTTCTCCACACAGAGGTTCAGGGCTCAGGGATAAGGTTTAGTAAGAGTTTTACGGCACTTGCAACACAATACGGTCATAAAAGCGCCGAAGATTAGTGGTGTTACAAGAGAGTAACAAACACAAAAAAGAAGGAGAGATCTGAGCGATAGATGTTTGACAAAAAAAGGAGCCAACCACACCAGAGCACCCACCAACCACCCGTGCACGAGGTTTGAAAGGTACACTACTTTATCCTCACGGGGTAGGCTTACGTTGCTCTCCCTCAAAAGGCAAAGGGGTTCAGGGGTACGCTGCTATACCCCGCACGAGGATACCAAAACCAGATGGGTACAGGACAAACAGAATAAAACAGCACGAGCATCTGACAGTATATGACCTAGCTTGAAACTGAAATGTGACCTTTGGTATTGACCAAGTCAATTTGTTTTGTCTATTCTATCTCTCTGTTTGTCTGTATCGCTCTGCCTGTGCCCCACTCTACCCCCTCCCCCCTTTCGAGAATAAATGGTGAAGAACCGAATAATTATTCATTCATTCATTCATTCATTCATTCATTCATTCATTCATTCATTCATTCATTCATTCTTTTTTTTTTTGCGGGGACTCCTTTTCCTGGCTCCAAACATCAACACCAAGCACACTGATCGACCTTGCATACAGTCTCTTGACACTTCGACCTCACACTCACATGCCGCCATTATAATATATTACCGTAACAGGAGACGTGGAATCAGCCTAGGGCAATTAGCGGCGACAGAACTGCACATTTAAAGACCTAGAACTAGAGCAACGAGCGTCCATTAATTAACCCGGCGTTGATTATCGCTGGGTTTTTCTCACCAGATAGGAGCGCGGTAACAACGATTGCCGTCCCAGAATAGCGGAAAAAAGCTTTTAATTGCAAAGATAATAATGGACACCATTAGTAGGCGTGCTGTGTTTAAACCTTTTACAGACGCAGTAGAAGTTTTTCTTCCTCTTAGACAAAATGTGTAAAATCACATTAAAATATTGCATACATAAATAGACGAACGGACGATTTTTGGGAGAGAGAGAGGGCACATATTTCGTTTTGTTTGTGTGTGTGTGTGTGTGTGTGTGTGTGTGTGTGTGTGTGTGTGTGTGTGTGTGTGTGTGTGTGTGTGTGTGTGTGTGTGTGTGTGTGTGTGTGTGTGCATGTGTCTGGGGGGGGAGGGGGGGTTGTTTCGGTTTTTTTAGGAGGGGGAGCTTGTGAAGGGGAATTTCATATTACCTGGAATGGCTGTATAAAACGTAAACAATTCTAACAATGACCCCATCATCGCAAATCGCCTCTCTCTCTCTCTCTCTCTCTCTCTCTCTCTCTCTCTCTCTCTCTCTCTCTCTCTCTCTCTCTCTCTCCCTCACTCTCCCTTCCTCTCTCGAAATACTTTTGTATGTACAAAAACGTAAGCGAGTATGTCTATATTATACAAACACACATGTATACATAAACTATCACATTCGCACATATAGGAAACAGTCAGTATTACTAAACAAAATATATGGTGCAACCAACACATATAACGTTCTATATTCACAAACTCAATCCAAAAGGGCAACATAAATATTGATTTTGGATATATCTGGCTTACAATATCAAGACCAAAAAAAAGTTTACCGTATTAGCGATAATGTATTTCACACAGATGAATTGTTGCAGTTTATATATATACATTATAAGCATGGGTAAGTAAATTGGGCAATTTTGGGAAATGGATACTGTGGTGGGTTGTTTTGGGTTTGTTTTGTTTTTTAAGGAGGAGTATTACAGGAAAGAGAGAGGTGAGGTGGGGAGGGGGGATGATCCATGATATATGAATGAGTATGAGGGTCTTTCGAATGTTAAGATTAAATTATGATCTGAGCTGAATTTAACAGAGAGTTGTTGTGACAATCGCCACTTTGCCACGATATAAGCATATTTTTCTCAAGCAACAATAGCCCGTGTCTCAAAAGGCAATGGTAAACTAGTCTAGTTCCAGAGTGGAAACCAATATCTTACAAGATATCCTGGTACAGAATATTTGCACTACTATTCTGAGAAGAGGAACAGTTCTTGCAACGATGGATTGCTCCAATATCCAGTCCCATATCTCTGTCTATCACACATCAGAGGGTGAAAAGCAGAACTCACTTCTCGCTAAAGCGTGATTAATTAAACGAACGTAAATATGTCTGATAGTTTTTTTTACTCCCCCAACAAATTTGGAGTCAATAAAACCTCTACAATGGCATACTGATCTGATATAACCCCCCCCCAAAAAAAAATCCACCCCATAGCAGCAAGCAATCCTTCTTTCTCTGCCACTTTTTATTTTATCATCTATTTTATCATCCAGAAACATTACATTTTAGGAGAAGCAGTAAGTGCACCAATTGTGAAAAGAAAATGACAAAAACCATGTAGAACAGAATGCAAAAACAAAAATGAAAGGACATCTCTTTTCTACTGAGACGAAATACACCCCATTTATGTGAACATAGCTAAACAAATATCCTGTGCATGTGCCCTGCTTTGAACTGTGAGTGTGAACTAGAAAGACTTGCATAATAAGAAGATAGGCAAATGTCAAGGCAAAAACCTTATGTGTCACTAATATATTTTACCTGATGCAAAGAACAGTGCACATGATCAAGATACAGTATAAATATAAGTAATGTTTCTAAAAAGTGATCACCTAATAAAAAAACAACTGTTTTTTTTAAAATCTCTCCAGAGTAGTGAAATATCGATACAAAATTCACACAAGCATCAAAGAAGCTTAGTATAGCAGTGCGGGAAAAACTTTTCTCTGAGATACAAACACACAACGAAATATACAAGGTGATATACAGGGACTGAAATAATTAACACAGAGTTGAAACAGAAAAGAGCTCAAAATGAAACAGTGTGTGACAGACCAAATTCAATCTCAAGAAAAATTAAATACAAAAAGTAAAAACCCAGGAAGAAACTCGACTAAATCAACACCGAGAACCGAAGTCATTTCTAGTAAAATTGACACCAAATAAAAAAATGTCACCACCAAAACCATTAGGCACACGCTGAAACAGGAGAGTGACGACACAAGCCACAAACCTTCTCCTCAAAAATATCGTCCTCAACATCAGAAGCATCCTAAAGGTTCAGCAAACATTGCATATTTTAATATTTAAGGTACAGACATTACACTGCTTACATATTACACTATTTAAGAGTCTACCATCTATGCCTCAAAATATTTAAAAAATTGGACTGAATGAACAGCTCCAACATTTTTTACTAACTTTGAGAAACCAGATTTAACAGATATATCTTGGTACTCATTTTTCTTACCATACTGGTGCTGTATATTCACATTCAATAAACTGCTGGCGCAGACATGGAAAATTTTAGCAAATGCTTACATTTCAGTTTTTAAGACATAGCCATTTTACTAGAAAACTTTGAGTAGTCCTACTTGACTCGGCATTACAAAAAATATAAAAAACAAGGGTTACTCATTTTTTTATCAATAAAAATGATAGGTATTTATATATAAAAAGATTATTATGTCAATTGTTTTTCTTAACTGAGAACAAAACTATTACACCTAACTGACGAAAGTCAATAGTTTCCCATCTTCTGACGAGTTATCGCTGTTGGATACATTTCTACCCGGGACGAATGCGTTTTCAACAGGTCAAGTAGAAAAGAAATAAGAAACAGAAAGTCATTTAGTGGCAGGGGGGAAGCAAGAAAACAGGAGTACAAGATGTATCATTGAAACTTCTGCTACATTAGAGAGACATGACATCCAGTGATTCTCTTGGCTGAACAAGGTCACTTACTAAGTGCAAACAACTGTACAGCACAGAAGTTTTCCATGAAGACAACAATACAAACAACCGATCCATTTTAAATAACAGATAACACAGTAATTTGTCTCCGATAACCTTATTAGAGTACCAAAACCTAGCTCAGTGCACATAACAGTGGCATCAAGTTTCATTTTGGTGTCCCGAGAAATACAAAATGTAATATATAATTCCCTGAACACTAATTAAAGACAAAAGCTCAGAGAGCATTTAATTTGGTTAGTGTACCTGATGCAATGGGAAACTAGATAAATCAGTGTCAGTGATATACCAGTTAGGCTCCGTGCTGCTGCACACAGAAGACTTAAATTTGATTACATAATGTTTTGCTACTTTACTTTTCCAATCCAGCTGTCATCTGGGTTCTAGCCCTTAGACCTCTAATGTGTTTGTTAAATTGAGCATCTGTCTGTCTGCTGGAGTGTTGTATCCCTTTTTGCCTGGGTTTGCCTGACAAGAGGGATAGGAGCAGCCCATCCCTTAGAGGATCTAAATTATGTCGATGGGACAAAAATACCTTTAAAATTACAATTACATGTATATATTATTTTAGAAAGAGCTTACCTTTCCCTTCTTGTCATCCATGATGGAAATCTCAGGTGAGTCGGCCCACGAGTCTGGGCCACCCGAGGCTTTGCTGATGGTCTCATTCTCAGAGTCATCATCTGAGACAAGATTAGATAAAGTACGATAAATGTAAGATAAGATATACACTTTTGGTCCTCTACTAGACAAATTTGTAAGTGGGGTTTCACTAGTAGTGTCAGCAGCATAAAATATCAAAAACATGATATCAACACACACAATCACATAAACACGTATATTTGCACACATACATGAGCAGCATGCCCCCCCCCCTCTCTCTCTCTCTCTCTCTCTCTCTCTCTCTCTCTCTCTCTCTCTCTCTCTCTCTCTCTCTCTCTCTCTCTCTCTCTCTCACACTTTCTCTCTCTCTCTCTCACACTTTCTCTCATAATCTATCTATCTACCTATCTATCTCTTCCTCCATCCCTCCCTCCCTACCAAAATAACATCACTACAAACCTATCAAAATGCACAAGGCATGTACATGAAACTAAATATAGGCAGAATACAAGGGTGTGGGGGGAGGGAGTGGAGATAAAAGCAGATGCAAATGACAGGACAGAACTAGGGAACAGCAAAGGAGGTGAAGACAGAGCATTTTAGATAAGAACATAATTTTTTTCGCAGTGTCAGGTTTCAAACCCGGGGGGCATTTTGAATGAAAGGCGAACACTGTACCACTAGATTACAAAAGTCCCTGTCCAGGTGATGAATCATTCAGACTCAAGCAGATTCAAACTTTGACCTTCTAACTGACCTATCGTCAGCAAGCTGCTAAAATGATGTAAGCCCGGAAGGCAAAAATTTTTAAGGACAGAGAAAAAACTGTTTCGTTCGTATTACAATTGAACCTAATCTATGTTTCCTTTCTTGCCTTTTTTTTTGGAACACGTAAGGTTTGAATTTTGACACAATATTTCTTGAGCAGATGCAACTAATGTCACAGATGATGAAACTGCAATAAAAAAAGAATTACAGTTTTTGGGCTTAGTACATTTGAGCAGCTGACTGGCTGACAATATTAAGTCTGTCATCTACAGCACCACAGGGCACAAGGGGGCCCAACCCACCCGGGGGGGCCCAATCCACCTTGCAGGCCCAACTCATCCCCAGCCCACCCACTCACCCTCAGCATCCTGGGCAGGGAGGCCGATGGAGTCCTTGTCTCTGGGTGTGTTTACCACGCTGGGCGGGAGGGAGGACCGAGGTGTGGACTGAGGGGTTGAACGACTGACGCGGTGATTGTGGTCGGTGATCAGCTGACTGCATGCGTGGTGACCAGGGATGACTGCATAATCATCAGCTGACCAGCCTGAGTGAATCAATACAGGCATATTCGGTTAACTTTATGATGATCCATATATCTATTAACATATACATGTAAAACTAGAACTCTCTTACTCTGCAGGGGATATATTATATACACATATACAAGTTGTCAGTCACTGGACAGAGAGCACATGAAGTTTCCATTTGTACCACATATGTGGAGGCCATTTTCTATGTTGCAATTGCAATTTGTACTTTAACCAGAAGTTCACAAAGTGTGTACCAGTAACAGTATTTAATGAGCTCAAAACTTAGTTGCCACAAAAACCTATACTTCTAAGCCACACCAACATCTGATACATTCCAAAACAAAAGAAAAATGTTGCAATTAACTCAAAATATCTGGAACCAGGAAATACAACTTGTTACTTCCCTTACATTAAGAATGACCATAATATAAGAACTTTACAAGAAAATGTTGAATTACTTGCCCTTGAAGTTAAAAAAAAATACCCACACAATACTGCCGTAAGCTGACAAAACACTTTTCTTCATTTTTGGCGATATATTTTTTTATTTGCTAAATCAAAAGCCTGATCAGTTACCCTACTTGAGTGAAAATATCAAAGTGAAACTGTGTGACTAATTTTTCAATAGATTAAAATTCAAAATTGGAAGAACGCCTCTCTTAAATGGTTACGCTGACTACAAACATTATTTTTATCTCAAAACTGCTGGTAATTTTTTTAAATGCATTTCGTCAGCTTACAGCAGAATAATTAATTATTTCTGGGTGTGGTATTTGTACATAATTTCAACCTTGATAATAAAAAACACAATTAGATCTTTGTAATCACAGTAATCACTTATAATGCAATGCCCATTCCATACAGCCTGATCTGAAAAATGGTTGAGACTATTCAGGCAAGGTCTGACTTTTTTAGTCCACAGTTGGATCATACTCTAGAAACACCTCAATCTTCAGCACTTACAGGACCTAACCCTGTTGCGAATGACATTAAAACTCAGACTAAAACTTAGCTAAAACTAATTTCTTGAAAATGCATCAATGTAAAGCAACTCATATATCTAACAAGTCTGCTCTTGGTTCTGTAAGAACAATATGAAACGACAGATTCCGTCACGAATCCATTCTGGGATACCTCGAGAAAGATTTGAGACAGACAAACAGTCAAACCCCCGGGGGTGGTGCTATTGACTGAAGTGTCTTTAGGCCATTCTTGTGACCCACTATTTCCGGGGTGCCTTGATAGTGAAGCAGACTTTGTGCTGTTAAAGCTAGAAAAGTGAGCAGAGAAAGCCTGATTCCCTGTAGGGACTACTCTGTTAAAATCCACCCCTTGGCGCTCATATGACCTTATGCAGTTGCAAGAGCCGTAAAAACTCAACTAAAACTTTTTAAAAGACAATCAGTCGAACCTGCTTTAACACCCACCTATCCGAGACAATCCTTTGTACAAACGACCACTTCCCACTTCCCCCCTTGCTTTGCATTGGGTTTTTTTAATATTATAAAGACACTGTTCAAGCTGTTTACCTGTCTAAGACAACTACTATTCTCCTCAACAGTGCGCGACCACAGCGCTTTCTTGTCGTATCTCCATTTTTAATAATAGTGACAACAGTTCATAACAAAGAGTGAGCTTAAGAAGATGTCACATTTTCACTGTTTATAAAAATGGAGATATGACAAAAAAGCACTAAGGTCGCGAGTGGGTGAATGTCTTGGACAGTTTCCACGGTACCTTTTGAGTCTTTGTGCAGCGTGTTAGCGTTGTATCCCAGCAGCAGCCTCACCAGACTCACAGAGCCGTCCTGACAGGCATACATCAGAGGGGTTCTGAGGAGGAAGTGAGGAGGGGGATGATAATAAAGGCAATTTTTATTTTCCACTTTAAAAGAGCACTCCCTGCCTGCCTTTCTCAACACAAAACATCAAGGCAATAAACACTTCATTTATCACATGGTGGTAAAGAGGAGGATTTCAACTTTCAATATTTAACAAGTACTCCAAATTCTTTGCAATATCGACAGGCCGAAGGGCTAGAACTCAAATGGCCGCTGGATCAGAAAAGTAAAGTAAGTAAAGTAAGTAACAAGTACTCCCCAACTCCCCGCCACTATGATGTAAATGATATTTTAGTTGTTTTTTTTATTTAAGTATTTTTAAACATAAATCTTTCTCAACTTTCTCTTTCTACAAAAGTAAACGCCGAGCACTCGGCCCAAACATCACAAGACATGAAAATGAGAGCCAAACCTTAAGTTAGTGTCCTCTATGTCAATGTCCGCTCGTTCCTTCAACAGAAGTCTGCACACATCCTCCATCTTGTTTCTGACCGCCAGGTGAAGAGGAGAAAAGCCTTCCTGAAATTGCATGGCAAACATATTGAAACGAAACATGAAGTTCATAGTAAGAGAAAATGGAAACTTGCGGAAGTCTTTCAAATAAAGGGACAAATGGCTTGCCAAAATAAAGAAAACAGGATGGTGAAGATACCATTAAAATTAGGCTTGTAAGGAAATACCTGTGTGCTTCAGACATGCTGAATTGGAGAAATCTATAGAGAATGGTAGGTTTATAAAGTCACCTTATTTAAGAAGTAAGACCTCTCACATTCCAACCCATCCTGAAATCAGTTGTTAACAGTTTCATCAGAACGACAATCATTTGTACTATACCAATAAAGTAGTGGGGGTTTTTTAAGAGCGTCCAAGTGGAGAAATGAACAGAGAACAATGTCTGTTCCAGATCTGAAACTTTATGATGATGATACCACTCTACATTTTTTTTGTTTCGATGATAGCGGCACAAGTGGCTAAATAGGCCAATGCCAGTTACAGGGAGGGCAAGGAAATAATCACTGTTCAGAACAGGTGCTTTACCTTGTGCTTCTTCTGGTGTACAACATTTATCTCCGCAGCCACCACCTCTCTTTTTTTCATCTATATAAAACAGATACCCCTAAATATATATTTGGAAATGAGGACTAGAACAGAAGAATGGGCATAGTCACATTTTCTCAATTTTTAGAACTCAATGAAAGATTCCCATTAACCAAAAGATAACAGTGTGTTCAAATAATGCCCCATGTTTCTTTCAGTTTACTCAAGATTACGATTCTTTTATCATGCAAAATTCAGTGCAGTGAATTGAAGAAATGAGAACCCCCTACCCCCCTACCTCAAAGAGCATGATTCAAAATATAGCATAATTTGTCTAAGCTCGTTCCATGGCGCTCATATGACCTTATGCAGTTGCGAGCGCCATAAAACTCTCTACTATAAAGAAAAATATAAGCTCGTTCTTTCATTAGAGGTAATATATTCAGTCCTAGGCTCACTTTGTTCCTGGTGTTCAGGGAGGCTCCAGCCTTGATGAGTAGAGTGACAATCCCCAAGCCGCCGCCCATGACCGCCATGTGGAGTGGCGTGTTACCCTGGCCATCTCCCGTCTCAACATCGGCCCGGTAGGTGGTCAGAAGGTTGACACAACCTTCTTGTTGGAACTCCACAGCCTGGGGAAGAAAAAAAGGATTTGTTTTATGATTTACAGTCCTTCCAAATACAATTAAGTTATCTCAAAGGAATCCCCAATCTCTTTTACTAAAGCGTAATCGCCGATGCTGTTGCTTGTTAACGTTTTACGCCTTCATTGACACTATTCAGACTAATCAGGGTACAGCTACTTCGGCTCTAATCATTAGGGAAAAAAACCTCCACCAAGCAGGATATTTGTAGTTTATCCTAATGGAAATACACAGATACTGATTAAAATGTCTTTCTCAAGTAAAGGGAAGAGTCACACTAATATAACACAAATGCCAGTGGGATGCTTTGGCTTAAGTAGGAGTTTTACGACATGTTTGACAGAAAAGATGGAGCAAGCCAAACCTAAGAACCTGCAAACCACCCACTACAGTAGGATAACTTTTGTTGTTTTTAAATCAGTTTTATACCTTAGAAAAGGCATGGGCAAACTAAACCCCATGGGCCAAATCATGCCTGTGAGCAATATATCAGTCTGGCCCGCGAGTCGACCCAGTAGTTAACAATGAATGTTGCCCGTGGTGAGTTGATTAACAACAACAAAACTGCTCATCTTTGAAATTAAAATGAAAATATTTCCAACCCAGCTGGAAACAAAAGGTCTAATGTTTTATGTCATGAAATGCCCTTGAGTGCACATGCTACAATGTCAGCTCTAGTTTAACTTTTGAGAGCTTAGGTACTCCATCGATTCGACTAAATTTTCTTCTGCTCTGGCCTGCTAGATACTCGCTTAATCTTGCTTGCAACTTGGACATGCCTGCCTTAGAAGTAGGAGACAAACCACCGCATGTTAATTAATATCTCAATAGTGGTTACTAATTATTAACCTCCCTAAGTTCTGCGTTGACTTCGAGAGGATACATATTTTCTAACCCCCTTCAAAAGTAATTGAAGTTTAATTAAAATAGATCAACAGTAATAACAATATGAGTTTGTGACTTTTCTATTTCTAACCCAATGCTGGCACTTCTGACGAAAGACCACTGCTTTTCTGAACGCAGAAGAAAAAGCCTTGCCCCTGGCAACAAACAACCCCCCCTTCCTAACACACACACACACACACACACACATATTCAAACACACACACACACACACACACACAT